AGTCTGGGGGAGAGCCAGTTGGAGGCTGGCATTTGAAACAAGCTTGGAAGGTGATTCTAATGCATTCTGTAATTTGAGAACTTTCACACTGACTGAGAGTCTCATGAACAGTAGACTCCCAAATGGCTTCTGTGCCCTCTCACATTTACCTGCCCACAGCTAATTTAAAGTCAAGCCACAGTCGGAGATTTGGAAGCAGCAAGGAGTCGACATAGTTCCCCATGAAACTGAAATCCTTACAGTGTGGACAGTGAAATGAACTGGAAACTGGAATCTGTGTTCGAGTTCTACCTATGTCTCTTGCTGTCTGTGGCCATGGAAAGTAATTTCTATGATTCTTTCTGCTTGTTCCTAAAATGATCAGCATTCCCCAAATTTCAGACTATGGAATGCTACCTTAAAAGGGTACCATCTGTACAATCAGTAATATTTTAAAAATAGCTACTTAAGCTTAATTGCATTTCCATAAATGCAAAACCAACACGACTTTCCATAATTGGAAAGTTACAACTGAAATATCTAACAACTAAATATTTAAAAAGTCTATCCTTGAAGCTCTAAAATGATCTCACCTACTGCTAATGATATTGTTATTGAATGTTGGGAAATTAATTAAATTATATTTAAGATAATTTTTATCCTATAGATAAAAATATTTATCAGAATGTCATGCAAAAGGTTATTTCATTATTTCTGGAAAGGGGGCAAGGAATCTAAACTTATGAAGCAATTTCTTAGAAATCAACCCGAGGTGACTGTCAGACAAAATTTCCATGACAAGAGTTATGAAAAACAATGACTCCGCTTTCCCACAGAAATGGCTTTTAATGCTACTCAAATATGTAATTAAATGCTTATATCAAATATGCATATGGAAGCAGGCAATATTTTACTTAATAGCATCTGCTCACCCCATGTATTTCTTTTTTCAAATCTTTAAATTGGAATTAGAAAAAAATTTCAGTTTTAGCAGAAATGAAATTCCATGCTGGCTCACAGTACACACGTCGCCCTTTATTGGGAGGTAGGTTTGGGAAAAATGTTGGGAGGTGGGTGTTGGTGGTGATGAATTGGAGGATGGTACCTTCTAGAAGGACATTAACAATTCAAGGCTGTCCTCCAAGGTCCATGCTGCTTATGTTGGAGGTATTCTGTGAAGACTCGCCATGCTGATCACTCCCAAAGGGGTTCACTGTGCATCTGTGTACAGAGTACCAAAATGCTTGGTCCACTCAGTAGGGAAAAAGGGTAATCAAAAGTGGCTACCATAAAGAATACCAGCTGTCAGGAGACTGACCTGGGTCCTGGAGTACAGATGAACACAAACGCACCTCCTTTGGAAGCAGTTTTCTACCCGACAAGGATAGAAGATGCCTGCTTTCTTGGGAAAACGTAGAAGTCAAAGACCTATTATGAGGATAACTAAGACAGTGGATTGGAAGTTTTTGTTTTGAATCTGCAAAAGGCTAAAAACCTAAAGTATTTCATATGTGATTATATACATTTGATTATATGTAATATTACACATAAGATCATACACACAGACATATATTTATTTATTTATTTTTATATTCCTTCCAGAGTTTGCTAACAGCATTACAGGATTGATTTTTTAAGGATTTTAAAGGGGGAATCTCAGTTACTTGTGCAAAAATTCTGATCCTTTTGACTTAGAACAATGTGTGGTGCACACCACCACACAACTGCATGGGACTTTTACATGCAATTTCAGGGTGTTTGTGAACTTCCTAATGTCAAACCCTAAAATTCCATGAAAGTGAGAGCAAGAATCTTTGGTTTTATAATAGCTGGAGTTGGATATCCAGAGACTAACACTGGAGCCTTTCTCAGTACTGTCAACAGGGAAGGCACTCTAGGCTAAAGTACCCAGCAGGCTGTTACTAAGATACTAAGATTACATGAAACCAACAGTCCTGTGATTTGATCATGGAATTATATGTTCCAACAGAAAGAAGCTGATGAAAGGCTGATTCTCAGCAGAGACACTGGCTCACAGGAAACGTCACCAAGTCCTTGATAACCAACTGCTGTCCGCGATATTTTATCTTACCTTCATTTACTCATTCTTGACTCTTTTTAAAAAATTTTTTTATTTTGGTCTGAGTTTCTAACCTGTATCAGTTTCCTTCTCTTTAAAGAAATTCTTTTAATATTTCTTGTGAGGCAGGTCTAGCGGTAACAAATTGTCTCCATTTTTCACTCTTGAAAAATTATTTCTCAGAGTTCAGAATTGTAGTTGGTAGGTATTTTTTCTCAACACTAAATATGTCACTTCATTCGCTTCTTGATTGCTTGCATGGTTTCTGACAATAAGTATAATACAATCCTTGGTATTTCTTTTCCATAGGGAAGGTGTTTTCTCCTTTTGACTTCTAACAAGACTTATCTTTGATTTTCTAAAGTTTGAATATGATATGCTTATGCTTGTTTGTTTTCCTTTTTGGGGATTTGTCCTGATTCGTGTCACCTTATTTTCTTGTTGTTGTCCAACATTAATGTGGGGGCATATTAATCATTATTGCTTCAAATTTTGCTTTTGTTCCTTTCTTTTCCTTTTGGTGTTCCATTATTTGCATATTATACTTTTTATGGTTGTCCCACAGTCCTTCTATTTTCTGTTCTTTTGTTTTCCAGTCTTTTTTCTTTTATTTTCATTTGAGATTTCTATTGTCATGTACTCTAGCTCAGGGATTCTTTCCTCATTCATGTCCGATCTACTAGTGAGCTCAAAGACGTTCTTAATTTTTGTTATAATTGCTTTGATCCCTACTCTTTCTTTTTTATTATTTCTATGAATTTTCATCATTCTTCTTAGATTACCCATTCATTTTTCATGTTGTCTATTTTTTCCATTACATATTAATGAGAGTGTAAAAATTTCTATTAGAATTATTTTAACAGTCTTGCCCTACCTGACTTGTTATTTGTTGAAGACCCATTCTTTCTCTTTTCTCCTGGGTTTTCTTTTTTTTTTCTTTCTTTTTTTTTTTCTCCTGGGTTTTCTTGGTGCGGTTGTCAAAGAGGAGTTGGCTACGTACACATGGATTTATTTCAGGCTCTGTTCAGTTCCACAGGTCTATGCATCTGTTTTTATGTCAGTACCATGTCGTAATGATTCCTACAGCTCTGTAAAATAATGTGAACTCAGGAAGTGTGATCCCTCCAGCTCTGTTTTTCTTTCTCAAGATTGCTTTGAACATTTAGGGCCTTTTGTTGCTCCACACAAATTATAGAATTATTTTTACTATTTGTGTCTCTTCAGGTTTCTTTCATCAATGTGCTATCATTTAGGTTCGCCAATATTTTATTTCCTTGGTTAAATTCCTTCTTAGGTATTTCATTCTTGATGCTATTGCAGATTGGATTCTTTTCTTTTCTTTTTTTTTTTTCAGACAGGTCATTGTTAGCATACAGAAGAGAAACTGATTTTCTTTTGTATCTTGATTTTGTATTCTGCAATTTATTGCACTTGTTGAACTTGTTTATTAGTTCTAATGTTGTGCAATGGAATGTTTAGAGTTTGTTACATGAAAGATGTCATCTTCAGGCAGAGACAATGTAACTTCTTCCTCTTGTCTGATACAGTACAAGTATAGAGAACCTCGCTGCCTTGGTTTCCTAAATTGATTCAGAACATTTGTCTTTCAACGTCATTTTGACTTTGTGGAAGAGCCAGCGTCACATGAGGCCACAGGGTGCTAGATCCAGCCCTCAGGTGAATGAAGATGCGCTGTGCTACTTTTGTGAACCTGCCTCTCTGTTGGATGACACTTGGCAACAGCATTTGCCATATTTTTCTTTTTTCCAGTACTGGGGATTGAACTCAGGACCTTGCACTTAGCAGGCAGGGGTGGCGCCACTGAGCTACATCCCTGGAGCTTGCCATATTTTTGATCATATATTGTAAAGGAGCTTACGAAGAAGAAATTCCAGAATTGCTTCAGAAAGTAGCAGGAATAATGGGATAAGTGTGTTTGAAGTAAAGGGAAGTACTTAGAGGGGGATTAGTAGCAGTGTGTCTTTTGCTATAATAAATTAAAAAAATTTAAACACAGCAGATTTTGATCACATCTCATGTTTTTGGTTGGCAGTTTTTTTGTCCTACACTCTGAATACATCCCCACATCTCTCTGGGCCTGTAGGATTTCTACTAGAATCTGCTGATAGTCCCATGGAGGTCCCCTCCTGTGTCTTGAGTCATTCTTCTCACGCTGCTTTTGAAAGTTTTTCCTTATCCTCAGCTTCTTACAATTCAATTATAAGGTGTCTCAGAAGAATCTCATCTTTGCACTGATCTTGTTTGGAATCCCCTTAGCTCTGTGAATATGGATGTCCATAACCCTTTCAGGATTTGTGAAATCATCAGCTCCCATTTCTCTAAGAAAGCTTTCAGCTCCGCTGTCCTTTCCTGGAACTCCCATAATGCATATGTTCATTTGCTTGGTGGTTTTTATTATTTTCATTTTTGTTTCTTTAATAAGCTAATTGCAAATGACTTGTCTGAAAGTGTGCGGATTCTTTCTTCTGCATGAACCTGCTGTTGTAGCTTTCTGTGGATTTTTCAGGCTGTCATTCTGTTCTTCATTTCTAGAAATTTCTCTGTGCGTGTTCATAATTTCTACTTACAAAACCTCTCATTTTGTCATTTTATCACTGTCCTCATCTTGTTTAGTTGTCTGTCTTGTTTTCTTGCATCTCACAATGCTATTTTTTTTTTTTTTGGTACCGGGGATTGAACTCATGACCTTGCGCTTGCTAGGCAGGTGGTGTAACCACTGAGCTAAATCCCCAGCCCAAAGATAGAGTTGACTTTTTTTTTTTTGGTACCGGGGATCAAACTCGGGTCCTTGCACTTGCACAGCAGGCGGCAAAACTACTGAGCTAAACCCCTGGCCCCTGATTTCTTGCATCTCACTGAGCTTCTCTTAGGTCTCCATTTCTCTGGAGCTAGTTCCAGGAACTTTATTAATTTCCTTTGGTGGTGTTGTGTTTGTCTCCTCTGAGATCTGTGTAGCCTTGTGTGGGTGTCCGTGGAGGTGCGAACCCTTCTGGTCTTTGCAGGCTGGCTTCAGCAGGTGACGACCTTCTGCTGTTGGGTCTTTGCCACCAGGATCACAGCTGAATGGGCCTGTAGCCAACCCTAGGCAGCCAGCGGATCTGCAGGGCTGTTATTAGATAGCCCGTTATGCTGGATGAGGCAGGTGTGCACTTGTGTGGCCATGGGGTGGACCAGACTGCCTCCAGGACCTGGTCAGTAGTGGGCCAGGGGTCTGCTTCGCATCTGTAGTTAGGTCCACAGGCAGAGGTTCACTGCTGGGCTTACAGTAGCTCTCACCAGGGACAGGGGAAAACTCTCAGCAGGTCCTCAGTGAGCTTTTGGGCAGACCGGACTCAGAACAGAGTCATAGGGCGGCTTCAGGGAACATAAGTGAGACTGCTGTGCAGGTTCGTAGATGGATGTGCCTTCTGCTGGGCTTCTGAGCAGTTTTCTAGGGCTGCTTCAGGATCTGCAAGCTGACTGAGGTTGCCAGTCTGCTTCTGGGGACCGAGCAGGCACGACTCAAAGTGGGCACCCGGGGTGGGGGGGCAGCACTGTGCCTGGCCTGCAGCTGAGTGGGGCTGGGTTGGGTGGCTGGGCTGTCTCAGGATCTACTGTGGGGCCCAGGGGCAGGTCTTCCTCCACAGCCACTGACAGGCAATCTCCGGCTGGGTCACCTGCAGCGATGGAGGCTGAGCGGGGCTGGAGCTAGGTCATACGCCGCCTCGGGGGCCTCCACTGGAACAAGGTTGCTATTCGGTTTTCCTAGACCCAGGAGGGGGATGACTTATTCTGGGTACCTTGGCAGGTGACACCGGGGGAGAACTAAGGCCACACAGGCTGCATCTGAGTCCACAGGGGAGGGGCTGTGTCTGGGTCCAAGGCTGGAGATACAGCTGCTGAGCCTGCGACCTCAGTGTATCTGCCTTCTTGGTTTCTGCTCCCCTGGGGTTTTGTAACCTCCTACCTGGTTCCCCAAACTGCAAAGATGCCTTTGCAGATAGCTGCTGGATTACTGCTACGTGGGAGGTAAGAGTGGAGGATCTTGAGCTGAATTTTGAAGGAGAAAGAGGAATTTTCCAGCTGTACAGTGTAAAAAAAGGCTATTCCTATAGACAGCTGGAGAAGACCACAGAGTCACAGAAATATGCACCCGCCACAGGGTCCACGTTCATCACATTCTCATAGCATGAGCTTTGCACAAATCCATCCCCCAAATGACATTAAACATAAAGGAGTACTTGGCTTATAAAATATATTGTTTCATAATCTAAACTCTAGAAGAGAAATTTCCTCCACATCACTTAGTTTTTCTATAGAAGTCCTTCCTCTGCTTAATGCTCATCTGCTCCCGGTTTAGGGTTGGCTGGAAGGAAGCAGAGTGGTGAGGACGAGGTGGGAGCCACCATCCTGGTGACCCGGGGGTTTTTCCGTTAACTAGCCAGGCAGCTAACATTCTCTAAGTCAGACCTGAGGAGTACGAGGCGCTGTGTGTCTACACTGCCAATAGGGGTAAACTCGAACCCAAGTTACATGGAGGATGCTGGGGGAAAAGCAGTTCTTTGAAGGATTGTATCCAGGACACCTAATCCTCTGCAGTCAGCACCAGCCGGCATAGCCCGTAATATGTCATGTCATATACAACACTTCAGACAGTGATGTAATCGAATCCAGTCCTTCTGTTTCTCCTTCCTGGGGCAGAAAGCATATTTGCAGCAGAGAAGAAAGCAGCAAGGCTAGTGAGAAGCAACTGGGAGCGCCGTCCTCAGAGACGGAATGCAGGTATCAAAGGTTTGTGGTAAGAGCCCATGTTTTGTGTCTAATGGACTCTGTAAACGAGGCTGGCCAGGTCACCATTAGGGTTGTGACTCTCGTCACAGGAAATCCAGTGGTGACTTCCAGCACCACCTCTGAGCTCTGCAGGTCTCGAATTGGGGCTCTGTGCCGCGTTCCCATGCACCTGTGAACCCTGCGGACGAGCATGGCGGCAGCCCGAGCTGTTTGCTCAAAACCGAATTGAATGCTCCGTCCTGCTGTTGTGGGCCTGTCTTTCCCCTGCACAGGCTGTTTCTCCTACAGGAACCCCGTGGAGCTCCTGAGGATCCCCCTCTCCTTCCGTGCAGTGGGTTGAGCCCTCTAGACCCAGCCTGCTAGGAGCTCTCCTGCCTCACCAGTGTTCTGTGCAGTCCTCCTTCATTTTAGTAACCACATAAGCAGGTCTTTGACTTTTGGTTTGATTCATTTACAGTTCCCTCCGCAGAGAAGCCAGCTGGTTCTTATAAAAGTGAATATCTGATCGAGGCACTTTATTGTTTACACAGTTTTAAATGGCTTCTCCTTTGCTTTCCAAGATGCAACACCAACCCAGTAATGCAGCATGGAGTGGACATTTCAGGCCTTGGCCCTGTTGCTCCTCCAGCCTTGAGTAGTTCTCCTCACCCTACCCCACCCTCTCCCTCTCCAATCTGCTACTCTGAGTAACAACATCTAACATCTACTGAGTTCCTACCCTGAGCTGTAACTGCCCTGATGCGCTAGATCAGGATTGTCCAAAGCTTCCCAATGATGGGTATCACCTGGGTGCTTGCTAAAACTACAAGTCCTGGTCCTCCCCCCAGACCTACTGAATCACATTCTTCATAGGCCGTCGGGGAGCTGTGTGTTTACTCTTTATAAAAGGACCGTGCATGTGACTAATTGTTTGAGAAACTGGGGAAAACCCTGCTTTCCTTAAGCTTCCATTTTAGAATGTAATGAAGTAAGAACTGCTACTTGTCTCATTTTTAGAGAGGAATAAATGAAGTTAAGGGGAAGACTTGCGGCTAACTGGTCATCAACCTTATGATTCAAACCAGCCCTCAAATTTACCCAGGGTCTACTCTTCTCACAGATCAGCCCAGGCCCTGTGTTTACTCTCAATTTTCAGTGCCTCTTTTGTTCTTTAACATGGAAAGTTATTTCCCTCTCTTTGCTTCAAAGTTACTACTCACTTTCCTAATCCAGTATGGGCTGTGGATTCCATGCCTCATCTGTCTGGATTGCTTGCCTTCCTGTGACCACTCTTCGAACAGGGATGTCTCGATCTACATCCATACCTCTTACCTTGGCAGGCTAGGAGGCCGGTTTGAAGCCAGCAGAGTACGCACACGCTGGCTGCGTGAGAAACACCCGCCAGGTGTCACCTGGAGAGTCTCCGCTGTAGATGTGTAGATGCTGTGCATACGTGGACAGGGTCACTGTGGCTTGGAACCAGCCATGCCTCCAGTGAGCTCAGCCACTGTCCTTCCAGGAGCATTTTTGTGCAGAATAAGCACCCGGTGCTTTCCTTTTCATGGTCAAGTTCAAGGGAATCAGACTTGCTACACACTACAGAGTCCTAGTCAGGACCAGAGGATGAGAAAGGACAAGGAAGCTCCCAGGAGGGGAGAAGGGGTGTGGACTGGTGCTGTGGCCTCCTTGCCGGAGTCCAGAGTGTCCAGAGTGTCCAGAGGAGTGTCCAGTGTCTCCAGCCACATTCCTGTTGCTGTGGATGGGCCTTGTGGAAGTTACAGCGAAGCGGAAGTAAAACGTGTGGAATTAATGCTCCCATAGGGTTCCACTGGGCAACAGACCCTTCCCCGAGCGGGGATGGTGATGAGACTTGACAGGAGGCCCAGCTGGACCCCACGTCCTGTCCAGAAGCTCCGAGTCCTCCAGGGTTGGGGCAGTGCTGACTCTGAGTCCTCTTGGTCAGGGGAGGCACGGGGAGACAGACCTGGGAGGCCTCTGCAGCATCTGCCTCCCTCCACCCGGCCAGCGGGGTAGGGGACATGCCCACCCACCGGCCGGCAGGTGTGGGGTCCACTCACGGGCGCCACGCCCACCTGGGCCTCCCCTTCCCTGTTCCTAGTTGAAGGCAAGGAGCGAAAACTGACCCGCTGACACGGGCTAGGATGCTGACATTCACGGGGACAGCTATCCCAGGCAAGAAAAATCGGGGGAAGCTGGACTTTCTCTGAATGTGACATGCTGGGGTTTGCTATCATCATCTATTACAAAAAATGTTGAGATCATCCAGTTGGTGATGACTGGAAATTGGGTAATATAATCCAGTAATAAAAGTGAACAATAAAGAGCTTTGAGAATGTGAAGTTTTTCTCCTGCAAGCTACCGACAGTCCTATGGAGCCATGAAGGAGAGCCCAGGGACAGCAAGGCAGGAACGTGTGGACACGAGTTTTGAAAAACATTTTTCATTAGTCCACGTTTGTAGGACATGATTACATTTATCGTGGGGCCTTGGTACATGGAAACAATACGTATTAATTCCTTTTTCTTTCCCTACCCCTCCCATCCTTCCCAATCCTTTCTTGGTCCTCTTCCAATTTGCAAAAGCTCTATTTCCATTTTTCCTCGTTTCTTTTTCCCTCCCCTCCCCCCATCTCAATCCTTTTCGCCTCTGAGGAAGATCTGTCTCCCTACTGCCTATTATCTGTCTTTTATTTTGTGGTTTATTTATACTCTGGGTTTCTCATATAGGAAAAACCATATGATATTTAACTCGTGCATCTGATTTATTCATTTAACATTATGGTCTCAAGGTGCGTCCGTTTTCCTACAAAAGTTTACCTTTCCTTCTGGCAAGGCAGTACTCCACTGAGAACAAACGCCCTATCTTCTTTTTTTGTTTTCTGGTACCGGGATCGGACTCGGGCTGAGTCCCGGCAGCCGTATTTCCTTTACGCACTCACCGGCTGGCAGACAGCGCCGCTGCCAGCCTCAGCTCCCTATAAACGCGTGCGCGCGCCGTCACCGCGATGTGCTTTACTCCTGGGGAAGACCCGAGGGGTCGGGGTCGGGCTCGGGGTCGGGGTCCGGGCTCCGATGCTTGACTTCTGAGGAACCCCGCCGTGGCTGCGGGGAAATGCAGACAGCTTTGCTTGGAGCAACAGATTCACTTTCAGAAAAGCTGTCTTTGGAGAGTGTTTGACCCTACACAAAGCTGAGCGTGCCCCCGCGGAGACACCGGGGCAGGAGAGAGGACTGCAGAGGCGCACCTGCCGGGAGACTCGGCTCCTGGACGCCCTGAGGCTGAGGGCGCGGCCATGGAGCGCAAGCTCGGCTCGGGTCGGGTCGGGTCGGGTCGGGTCGGGTCGGTTCGGCTCGGCTCGGCTCGGCTCGGCTCGGCTCGGCTCAGCTCAGGTCGGGGCGCGCGGCCTGGACCCCTCGCCGCACGCCGCGCCGCAGGAGGCGCAGGCGGGACAGCACCACGTCCCAGTCGGCGTAGGCGCCCTCCAGGTGCCGCGTGATCTCCGTGCCCGCCGCGTAGCCGCGCCGGCCGTGCAGCACGCGCCAGTTGTCGAAGGTGATCACGTCGCCTGCGGAAAGAGAGTTGCAGCCCATTCGGCGTGGGAAGGACTCCGAGCCCAGCCGAGGCCGGCTGCAGGGAGCAGCCGGTCCCGAGGGTTCTGAGTGCGAATCGTGGACCGATGGGCACCCATACCCCCCAGGCGTGCTTCTTTCCAGCTTAGCAGCTTCGAGTGTCCATAAGGACGGGGCAGCCTTCTCTTTGCAGTTGATGTGCGTTATATTTAAGACTCCTAAACCCAGAGATGGAGAATTAGCTCATCTCTTCACGCACAGGAAACAGAGGCTTCTACAAGCCCAGGCATTCCCCCAAAGCTGAGCTTCCATGAAGGGATGGGGCTTGGAGTCCAGCCCCGATTTCTTTCTTTCTTTTTATTTTTGGTGTTTTTTTCCTATTTTGTTTCTGGCCCACGTGTTGCCACTCTTACTATCAATCCATTGTGTCTAACTGGGCAATGGATTTACGACATTTCTCGTATAAATTTATTACGGAAAAGACCAGTTAAAAACAATTTTAGCTGGGCACAGCGGTGCACCTTGGAAGGCTGAGACAGGAGGATGGCTTGAGCCCAGGAGTTCGAGAACAACTGGGCAATATAGCAAGACACTGTTAAAAAGAAAGGAAAGGGGGAAAAGGAAAAGAAATAGAAGCAATTACAAGTGAAGAGAATCATCCATTTGGCCAAATTAACACCAGAAAGAAATAATGCCTTTATTATAGATAACAAAGTCTTTAAGTTCAGAAAATAAAGTATGCAGCCCGGCAAATGATAGTTAATAATGATGTATTGTACAGTGGACCCTTGATTTACGAACTCAGTTCGTTCCTGGTTGTAAATCAAGTTGGCCAGTTGAAGGCTCAGGCTCCTCTACACAGCCTTCAGAGTCTCTCTCCTGTGCACAGGCAGATCTCAGTGTCCTTAGAGAGACCCTGGCCCAGGATTTCTAAGTTAACCCCACACTGGAAAGGATGTCATGTTCCTTCCAGAGCTCTTTAAGGGTGAAATCTCTCTCTGAGACCAGCTGGAAGCACAAGTGGCCAGCACTTGGGTTGTAACTCAAGACTTTGGTTGTAAGTTAAAATTAAAATTCCGTTTCTAATCCAAGTTGTTTGTATGTCAGGCCGGTCATAACTCAAGGGTCCACTGTATTCGTTTTTTGTTTATTTTTGTTTTCCAGTGCTGGAGACTAATCTGAGGCCTGCATACTGAGCTACATTTTTAGTCCTTTAAAAAAATTGTTTTTTTAAGTTTTGAAACTGAGTCTCAGTAAGTCACTACATTGCCCAGGGTAGGCTTTAATTTGTGATTGTCCTGTCTCAGCTTCCCAGAGTGCTAGGATTATAGGTGTGAGCTACCACACCCAGTTTTGTATTTTTCCAGATTGCTAAGAAAGTAGATTTTATATGTTGCCACCATAAAAAATGGTGTGAGATAATACATATATTAAGTAGATCAGCTTAGCCATTCCACAATATACACATATCTCAAAGCAGCCTGTCACACATGATAAATATATACAACTTTGTCAATTAAAACATAAGTAGAAAAGAAAAAAGAGGTTCTAGTTTGGTGGCACTTCACTTATTAAAGATGGTCTAGAAAAAAATTCAGGAAGTTCCATGAATAAAGATTACAAGATATTTTAGGGTGAGAATCATGAGCATAATTTTGTTAACTGGGATGGGGAAATTTAAGTACAAGCTTCAGCATGTGCCTGTGGTTGGTCAGGATAGAGAATACAAAATATCGGTCTTAACATCAGACATGAGGGTGTTTTGGCCTGCAGTTTGTCTTGCGAGTATTTATTACTTGGGTTGGAGACCCCCAAAGTGTGGAGTGCTTGGGGTTCCCAGGGGCTGTCGGCAGAGAGTGTTTTTACATCGGAGCGGCCAGCAGCCCGAGATTTAGGCTGTCAGTGGAGCCCAGGGCTCCTGGTTGCCAGACTGCTCTGCACCCCAATCCGGGGGAATCCTCTCCTCATGTCTTTGAAAGATACACGCACTGACCTGGGTTCATCTTGAAGGTGAACTTGAGCTCTTTGCTGTTCATGAGGTTGACGAAGTCCCTGAGGGCGGCGTAGAAAGGCTGCACCCTCTCCACGGAGACATCGAAGATGGTGTCTCTGGTTGCGTTGTTGAAGTTGATGCGAATCACTTGGCCATTATCATCTAACCTATTTAAGAGAAAAAGTTAGTGCCTAATTCACAGAATTCCTGGCTCTTTGTGTAAGGGTCAGTTCCTTTCGGGCGATAGTGCTGAAATACAACAGTGAAGAACCTGAACCTACAGAGAAGGCCTCAGGACCTTAGGGTCAGCTTCGGTACAGTGTGTCCTTCATTTCTTCCCTCTTACCCGTTTTTGTTTTAAATATTACTACATCAGTGCCAGAGGAGTCCAGTGAAATGAACATAAACGTCCCTGGGAGATGCAAGTTGAAATTTCTCTTATGCTTAGTGAAATTCATTCTTTAGAACAGGTTTTACATTTTCAGATTCTTTTATGTAACAAGTTTATAGGTCAGTTGCTTCATGATGTTCTAAGTATTTTTCACTCAGGGTATGGGCTAGGAAGAAAGGTTTTTGGAAAAGTTTGAAATAGATGTTTTTTGTCTGGTTTGTTGTTTTTTTGAGACAGGGTCTTCCACATAGCCCAAGCTGGCCTGGAACTTGCAGCAGTGTCTTGGCTTAGCTTCCAGGTGCTGGGATTAGAGGCATGTAACACCGTGGCCTGCTGAAATACATGGCTCCGATCCAATGCTTAGTTCACGTGTGGGAAAGTGAAGGCCAGTTAAGAGTCTAGCTTGAGATACAGGCTTTCCACTTACCTGTACTGGACTTTCCACTTTCCATGTACCTGTAGTTTATATGAGCTGTGATCAAAGATACAGGGAATGTTTAAATCGAAAATACCTATTACAGTAAAAGACACATTATCATTAATCCCCCTCAGCATACTCCCCTTTACTTTGAACACACTGTTGCTTTCTGAAGCAGTTTTGGAAGTGCTCTTTCTTGCGTGTCATTAGTTCTGCTATCTTGGCTAACTCGTCCTGAGTTGATTCGGCAGGTTCACCTTTCACAGTGGTGTTGGCCATGGGGAGAGGCTGCCCTTCTGTTGGCTGGCACTGGGCAGCAGCATTCACCAGGTTTTGATCACACTTCATAAAGACATGAAAGAGAACTTCTAGAACTGCTTCATAAAGGGGAAAAACAATGATAAATGTATTTGAAGACATGGGGGTATTTTGAGAAAGATTAATTGCAAAGAGTCTTTTACTGCAATAAGTTTAAAAAAAAATTAAACAGCCATTCACCGTATATTTTGATCACCCCTTGTGTACGACCTCTAGAAGTCTGGAACTGTTGTGTCTTTTTCAGTGTTGTATTCCCAGCACCTAACAGAGAGTCTGGTCGAAACAGGTGGTAAATACATGTTTCATGTCCACTTTATATATTTTTTAGTGCCTTGGGAGACCCTGATGTTGTGATGTCCATACTCTCTCTTAGAATATGGATTATCACCATAACAATGAAAGATATTAGAGCTTTCAGTGCAAGAAAAATTGCACCTTGGATTTGAACTGTGCTGTTACAATTAGCAAGACATGGGCTTTGCCCAAATTCAGCGGCAGAAGGAGGAGACATTTGTTAGCTTTTTGGGAAGGTGGACTTTCAGACAGCCCTACAGCACCAAGCAGTGTGATTTTCTTTAGGTGGAAACAGCAAATGGTGACACTGAGAAATAAGGGGGTTGAGAAGGCCTATGAGGTGCCTAGGACCTCTCCAGGAGTGCTGGGCCCTTGGACCAGCCCAGGAGGGGGTGATGGGGCCCTGCTGCTGTGTAGCAGCCAGAGCTGGGGCCTGGGCTTGGTGCCGGGGCTTGGGGACGTGTGCCTGGACCAGGTTCTGGGCCACACTGAGCTGACGGTCTCCCAGAGAAGGCAACCCACGGTGACTGTCACGGCGGATGAGTATCATGGAGGATGCTAGGACCGCGAAGCCAGGTCCTGTGTGTTATGCCTGCAAGTGCTCCAAGTTCGCAGCTGTTGCCGGAACAGCTTCTCCTTAGGGACAGCGTTATGCCTCCCATGAGGAGAGACGTAGCGTCTCAAGGGGCTTCTTGCATTTGCTGTAGGAATGCCACTGTGGTGTTGGCACATTTTTATGAGGATCTGTGGGAAAAATTTATTTCGGACTTGAGAGGCATCTTGAATCTTGTAAATGATTCAAGATTTCTTTCCTTGATTTGGCCTCTAGAAACTAGGAACTGAACTAGAAATCTATCACAGGTAAATTGCTGGGCTTTTTGGAAATTATAGCAAGCTAAAATATACTCAGTATTTTCTAAACCAGCCATATATTAACTCTGTAAACCCTGCTTCTGGGGGTAGGTGTTAGTTGTCTTTCTTTTTCTTTTCTTTCTTTCTTTTTTTATTTTCTGAAAAAGAACTGGAATCAGCAAGGGCAGCCAGTCAAATCAACCTGACACAGCTTCACGTAGTGGACTTACGGTCACGTGACTGAACTTGTGACCAATAGGATCGTTTCTTCTCACTATTATTATTTTTGCCCCAATTTCTGCCTTGGTTTATTTTTTCATTGCATTGTGTTATAATTCATTCTTTCAGCAGCCTAATGATGCTTTTCTACAAGCAGGACACAAAAATTTCAAAAGAAATGAACCCAGCGCTGAGGAGACAGGGCGTCTTCCTTAACTGAAAACCTTTGTTTCATCTCCTGTGGTTAAAAAAAATTGACGTGGGATTAACTTTTTTTTTGTTACATGGGATTAACTTTAACCACTTGGTATTCTCTAGGGATGCCCTGAGACCTTGCAAATGGCCGTGTTTTGAAATTTTACTAGAAAAAACATCAAAGCCCAGTCAGAATTTGGATTTGCCACACAGTTTTAAAATGTAAATTTATTTTACCTGCTACAGGAACACATAAAAATCACACATATGGATGGGCTAATGCGATGATTTGATATACGTATACATTGTATGCACAATGTAATGTCTAAATCAGGTTGAAATTGACTTCTAAATCCTGCCGTTTTTGAAGGTAACGTTTGCATTCTTAGGACTATGTCGATGTGACTAAAAATCCTGCTTCATTTCTTCTTTCCCACATCAGTGACTGACTTCTCACAGAACACCTCAGGGTTACTCTGATCTGGAACTTATTCCTGCTACTTGTCCGCTGTGACACCTCTCACCCTATATGTCAGGAAAACTGCCTATTTCTAGCTGCAAAATATATTGCAAATGGATCCTTCCCACACGCTGGTGCTGTCCCTGGACTCTCTTGTCCCTGCCTGGAGCCCCCGGCTTCCTGTCAGGCCATCCTGCCCCTGCCCCAGTTCTTCACGCTGAGTTTGGATAGAACTAAATCGATGGAAGTGCGTCTCTCCTTCGGTCAAACTGTGCCACTCTGTGTCTTGGAATCAAAACCACACTGGGCCTGTCCTGGTCCTGCCTGAGCCCCTCTTGAACATGTCCCCAACCAGCTCCAGCCTTTCTGGGCTCTGTCCCTGGACAGCCCAGACCCCTCCCGAGCCTGCTGCCAGCCTCTGCCAGAGAGATTGTCTTTATCTTTTTATTTTTGTTTGTTTATTTATTTTTTTAGTGCAGGGGATACAGGACAGGGCCTCATAGGTGCTAGGCAAGCATCCTGCTATGAGCTCATCCCCAGCCCTAGATTCTGTTATCTGTCCTGCTTTTCTTTTTTATTTTCTTAAGCATATAACAAGTTTTAAATATTCATTAAAAGCTGCTCGTTTATTTTAATGTTTAAATTTAAAATTCTCCTGTCCACCACAATGAAAGCTGTCTGAAAGCGTGGGACAAGGATCTTTATTTTGTCCACTGATGTATCCCAAGTGTTAAGAAAATTGGCCTCAGTACATATTTGTTGAATGAATAAATGAAATACCCCCTGTATATGACAGATGAATAACTGGTGATTTGATTATCTACTAAATGAACTTATGTTCATACAAGTTGGCTATTCATCATAAAAGAAGAAAGCAAAATTCTCAAATTGGAAAAAGCCTCAATATTAACAGAGGTCCAGTTCAATACATTGTGGCTAATAACACACTGCAAGCTAATTCTCCAATGGAAGGGTAAATATGTGGCTTTTGTAGATACCTGGCGAAATTATGATAAAATATTTTTAAAAGACATACAATATTGATATAAGCACTGAATGATCTTAGCGTATTTGGGAGAGACAGCTTCTCTCCCAGTGTGTGGGCTTCGGGTGAGCTGAGCCTGCTCCTATGATGCACATGTCATGCTGCTGTGGCCAGCGAGAGTCCTCCAGCCCCTGATGGTGGCCGTGGCTTCAAGGACTGACTTAGGGATGAGTGGGCGGGGTGTCATCCAGCCTTGTCACAGCTGGGAGGAAAGAAGTGTTCTCCCTGCGCTGTGAGTGGTGACTCTAAGGCCAGCAAAACCTGGGGATGCCAAGGACCATTTTCCCACGTGAAGTCCACCCAGAAGACAGCAAAGCCGGGAAGGAGCGAGGTCAGATGACTGCGCTCAGCTTCCAATGTACCTGTTCCGAGGGATTGTCTTCCACCCCTGGCCAGGAGGGTTCTGACCACTATAATTGCATTGATCACGACTGAAAATGTAGGACTAACATTTTAAAAATGAAGTACATGTGACACTTAGGTACTTTTCCTCTAACACTGATCCACAACAGATTTCATGTGATTTATTAAAGAAGTTTTTAAATGGTAATAAGTTCTTTCTCTCTCTCTCGTACTAAAGGTGGATTAAAGGTTAAAAGATAAAGTTTGGAGCTCATCAAAGCTTTCTGCTTAAACTCTAGGCCAACGGAACTCTTTTCTGATAATTGTTTTAGTCCTGCGAGAAATCAATAAAATAAAAGTACTCACTCGATAATTTTGTGCTTAGATTGCACAGAGAAATCACAGTAATCCACTCCGATGTCTGTAAAGTCCACAAAGGTAGAGGACAGAATCTGGAAAGCCTGGGGATTCTTTTCCTTGAGCTTTCGGCACACGTTAAATCCATCCACAATTTCCGAGTCGCCCCCGGTGACCGTTTGCTTAATGCAGTGCAGAAGCTGAATCTAGAAGGAGAAAACGGAGGAACAGACTTTAACCTAATAGCGCTTGCTTTTCTGATACCATGTTAAGGATTCACAAAGGCACGAATGGATCAAAATCTTTTAAAAATCTGCTCTCTTGCATCATTAGAAGAGGAGTTGAGGATGAAAATAGCTGCTCGTAACCAATGCTGTGAACTTCAAACTGTAGCAGTTGAAGATGTGGGCAGAGGCAGGGCCGTGTTCCCCCGTGAGTGAGCAGCCCTTCTTGTGCCTGGGTGGGCGGGGAGGCCAGCAGAGGTGGCAGGGGCTGGCAAGGGCGAAGGGTGAGACTGGAGAGATGGAGTTGAATGAGACCGCAGGCAACATCGCTGATGGCTGTGCAAAGCTGCACAGTTCATGGGAGGCAGAAGTGTGACTGTGGCCGAGGGTCAGGCCTGAAAGGAGTGGATCAGGTTGGAGAGGCGACTTCCACTTCGTTATGGAGAGTCTTCCGTGTCAGCAAAGGACCTGGTACTTTTTGTTGTACATAGAGTGGAATCATGGGATTCAGAGGGGGTGACACAGTCAGAAGTGGGCTGGAGAGTGTTGGTCCAGTGCTGTCACATAAGAGGAGTCATTGTGAGGAACTACAGGCCAAAGAGTAGCTTTTTGAGCTTCTGATAGGATTCTGATAAGGATAAGAAGGGAACCAGGTAAGGGGGGATTGGGAGGGCCAGGTAGTCCCAGGAAACACTGGGAATAAGAAACCGTAAGGATAGTAAGTCCTAATTAATTTTACTAAATTTTGGGGGGGAAGATGTTTAACTTTATTTCATTTTGAAAAGCAAAGAATAGTAAAATTAAAAAAATTCTTCTGAATGGGTTTGTCACGGGTTTTGTGCATTCTTTGGCTAAGTCAGAATGGATGGGTGATATTGAAGATCTAAATTTATTTATTTTTTGGAGGTACTGGAGATCGAACTTGGAACCTTGCACTTTCGAGGCAGGTGGTGGAACCACTTGAGCATCTAAATTTAGACACGAGTTTTCTGCTTAGAGAAATAATAGCATTCAGTTATGAAAATGTCATTGTTCCTGAGTAAAATAAATTGAAAACCAATATCTGACTTTAGTGTAGAACACAAGGGGCAAATATGATCAAATGCCCAGAATGAGGAGGGTCTGAGGCTCAGTGGGAGAAATCCTTGGCTGGCCTGGTCCCCACGGACGGTCAGGGCAGTGCCCCATCAAACTTTGTACCCCAGTGTTAACGCTCTTGCTGTCTGATGCAGTTAGCATTAGGTCCACAACGCTGTTGTGTACTTGAGATGTAGTCAGGGTGACTGAAGAATCGAAGTTTGAATTTCATTTCATCTTAATTTAAATTAAAAGTTACTCAGGTGGCTTCTGGCTGCTGTATTAGTGCTGGTTTTGAACACAAATCTTGCCTGTCCTCCAAAACTATATATGTTTCTCCAGTTTTTATGATTTTACACACAACTTGTTTTCAAATTGCATCATGTACATTACTCTTCATGGCAGTCTTCAGACTTGGATACTTTTATTTTCATTTTTGTAGACGGAAGGACAGAGATACAGGTGCATATCTATCTATCTATATCTATATCTATATCTATATACATATATCTACCATTTGAATTAGTTGGAGTTGATAGATTTGAGCTTGACTTCTCTGTATTAAAATGAAATTGCACAAAAGAAGATATTACTTGCTATTGCCATACATTAAAAAATATCAGTTGGTTTTTAAAAAACTAACATTTAAAATACTCTGAGAGCTCATTATGGCAAAATCTAAAGGAATTTAAAGAACATTGATTATTCCTCTGTGATCCACACTGACCAAACTGAATGCTCAGCAGGTGATTTATCAACCAGGTCATCGTCTCTCTACTGAGAGTCACAATGCGTTTTCCTCTTTGTTATAGAAAACCTCAGACTTTGGTACCAGGAAACCCCTGAATAATTCAAACTGGTAGCTGGAACAGTGGTACAGGCAGGTACCTATATACTGTTCTTCTGTTAGTATCCAAATAGGAATCTCATTTAAGAATCTATCACCATTAGCCAGGCATGGTAGCATACACTGTAATCTCAGCATTGTTGGAGGATGAGGCAGGAGGATAAAAAGTTTGAGCCTAGTCTGGGCAATTTAACAACTTAGCAAGACCCTATTTCAAAGTAAAAGTTTGCAAAAGGGCTGAGGATGTGGCTCCATGTGAAGGTGCTGAGTTCCGTTTCCAGGACCATTAGTACCACCACCAGCAAAACCCAAACCAGACTGAACCCGAATCTCATCATCATTTGGCTTCATATGTCCCATTTGGAGACAAGTTGGCCTTTGCTGCATTTCTTTCTTCTTACAGCTTACCTAGTATGTCCCTGTTATGTGCAAGACGAAATCTGGGGACACAGGAAGTATAAAAGAGTTTGTCAAGTATGACATTGTCCATAAATATGTAAGTTACGGTAACTTGAAATTCCAGCTCAGGACCGTTACTCTGTGACGAAAAACTAGATGCAGGCGTGAGTTCAAGTTCCAGCTCCCCACTAATCAGTTGTCACCCAATACAACTTTTTAACCTTGTGCTTCATTTCCTCATCTTATATAAAACAACAATAAATCCTGTCTGCCTTACAGGGATGTCAGGAGGGATCAGAGAAAGTAATACAAGTAAAAATGCTTTGAGAAAGCATGAAATGCCATGAAAATGTCAAGCATTATATTATACTGTACTCAGGAATATTTGTGAAATGATTTAATCACGTTTTCTTAGGCTTTCCATGTTAATCCAGAGACAACACTTAAACCTGTAAGATACTTCCAAAAGTTTCAAATGAAACCTTTAGCTTTCTGGTCTCATTCTTCAGGTTGTAGTCCATCCAAACTCTCCATGTAATCTTTGGCAGAGGGGCTGAGCTGACTAGTTTGGCTTTTAATACCAGTTTCAGAAAAATCTCAGAACTGCATTTAGAATAAGTTATGTTGTGTCTCTTTCTCCAACTCCCACCCCAGTAGGCGACCACAGTGGCCATTTGTCTGTCATCATTTGGTTCAAAGAAATCATGTGGTATTTTACAACCAAGAAAATAATTTAAAACACGTGAAATCAAATAACAGACTAGCTTAGCTAATGCTGTCAGGAGGAATGGGTAACAAGGAGGCCACCTAGAAAATATGCTGGTGAAAATAATGGATTGATTTTGATTTTGGCCCATTTCTCCTTCATGAATGCAGGAATCGATCAAATGTTCATTTACTTTTGAAGAGATATATGTCTGTGTGGTTATTTCATGCAGTCCAATTTAGCTCTAAGTATAAGGACAAAATATTCTTTAAACGATAGCATTCTGACTATCCTTTTTTTTTTTTGTTTAGGAGAATGATGATTTTTATAAGAATGCTTTTGGTTCAGTAAAATGAGCATTTTGTAAAGATATAGGGAAAGAATGTCCACTTAGAAATTCTCGGAAATTTTTTTGCTTGGTAAGGAGCATCTTGGTCTTTGATGAGGAGTCTGATACATGGGATGGAGTTCTGGTTTCCAAAATAGAATGGTCATTCTGATCCTACATCCATGTCCTTTTGCAATTCGCGTTTACAGCTTTTCCTGTGCAGTGTCTACTTCCTCATCTCTTGAATCTAGACTTACTTAGACCAATACAATATGCAGAAGATACATGCTGATGATTCGCCCAGGCCCCAGCAATCCTCCCATGCATGCTTCAGTTTGCTCCGGGAGGAAGCAGCCTGGACTACCATTGCATCTGGAGGGAACAGACCCCCTGGAAAAGAGGCAGCCCATGCAGCAGATGTCAGCCAGCCCCTAGCCAACTCAGAGTTGATTGCAATCACCTGACCTGCAAACAAGAACTGAGCAGCCACACAGAGCCTGAACAGCAAGACAGGCTAAGTGCATGGCTGCTCCGGAAGCCATCAGGTTAGGGAGCATGTATTTCTGGAGCAGTAACTGATACAAATGCTGGCGTGTGATGTCGTTTGGAAACTCCACCTTGGCCTCCCTGATTGGACGTTCTTTTTGAACTCTCTAGAGAGTGATGTGTGTGCAGAAAGACCTCAAGATGCACTGCTGTCTTAAATATGTCTTGGCTGCAAAGAGTGCCAATCATTATTTCCAGGAAGAACAAGAAATGCCCTAAAAATGATGCGTGAAAGTGTCCTATCCCTTAGGAATGTTGGGAATATCCAGAACTTAGGCACAGAGACTCTGTGAGTCTGGATTGTGTTTGGAGAAGCACCTCGCTGAGATGACTGAGCTGTGGAAACACTCGATCTTCTCAGCTCAGAATGCAGGAGGCTGTGGGTCTGGCCTGCCTGGTGGAGGGTACGCGGGAGCTCCTCTTACCCCAGGCGGATGGTGGAGAGCTGGGTAATCGGTGTGGAAGCTCAGCTTCCCAGTTGTGTAAGCCACGTTGTTGGCATCAATTTTGTCTTGCACTTGCCAAGTATGTCTGCAAAATATGAGGAACACATGGGTGAATGGGTTGTCCCTGAGCCAGAGGAAATGTGCTCGCAGGAATTTGATACATGAGGGGGAAATGTAGACTTTACATTTTACGAAATAATTAACATAATGTCTATGAGCCAGGAAAAAGAGTTTGATGTTTCTTTGCCTACAGTGACTTTTTCAGAATTAAGATCTCCTAGTTTCTGTCCTCCACAAAAGAGTACATTAGTTTCAACATTTCTACCATTCTAAACTAAAACCTCTTACCCAGATTATTAGTTGCCTTTATGTTGCTGGGACAAAATATCTGACACCTACAAATTAGAGGAGAGGTTTACTTTGGAGGAAGGTTTCAGCAGGTTCAGTTCATAGTTGACTGGTTCCAAGACAGCAGCAGCAGGAAAAGCATTGGGGGGCGGGGCAGCTGGCAAGCAGAAAGGGGAGGGGCAGGGGACGACAACAACCCACTCTTCGAGGTCTGCCAACCCCAGTAACCCATCTCTTCTGACCAGGCTCCGCCGCTGAGCACATGAGGCTTCTGTGGGACATTTTTTCCTCATCTTTCGTCAAAGGCCAGCTCAAGTTCCAACCCTTTCACAACCTAGATTCTAGAGTCCCAGCTTTTGAGCTTAAACTGAACTGGCTTCAAATCCTGGATTTGTAATTCATCAGCTGTATTATCTTGGACAATTTATCATTTCTGAGCCTCAGTTTATGCATTTGTGAAATGGAGTAATAATGTCTGCTTTGAAGGCCTTCCGTAACAAGCACAAGGTCCACATCTGATGTGCAGGAGATGCCTTCTAAGGCTTGGGGTCCTTCTTAGTTTCCTGATGACCTGATATTTACTCCTCCACTCAGGACTTCCATAGCATTTTTAAATTTTCATTAATTGGAGCTGAAATTGTCGAGTGTTTTGCCATGGTAGTTAAAATTTATAAAGGGCTCCCATTAGTCTGTTCTCATTTAGATGTTGTATATGAATACATAACTCTGCTTTATCTCCTGGACTGTAAACTCCTTGAGTGCAGAACAAAGACTTTTACTCTTCTCACACAACATAATCCAGCATCAGTCCTAAAGCAGAGAAATCAATAAATACTGACTGAAGGAACAAAGAGGGGCAGAGGGTGACTTTTTGAGTTTCCATTTTTATATTAGGGATGGTATGGTGGTAGCCATAGGAAGATGAGAAGGTATGAAACATTTAATACCTTTCTTTACTCTTCCTCCAGAAATACTACCTAAATCTCTTCCCATGTCTGGGAATATCTCTCTCTCTCTCTCTCTCTCTCTCTCATTTTTTAATTATGGTGCTGGCTATTGAACCCTGAATATCTTGTATGCTAGCCAAATGCTCTATCAAAAGAATATTTTCCTAATGACCAGAAAGTAGGACTTCTAAACTGTTATCTAGGACTGAGAAAGAAACAGCTATTTTGCTTACATTTTTCACTTAAAATTATAATCTAAAACTTGGTATATCATCTACTAAAGATCAAACACCATACGTGGCCATGGAATGGAAAGAGATGGAATGACAGGGGAGAAGAAGTATATATAGCCTGATGCAACTCATTTCAAATAAGAGTCAGGTAATACATTACATCGCAGGGATTGTAGCCAGCAAACACATGTTCCTTATGAAGTTCATGTAATTCCATAGCCCATCTAAAATACAGATTCAGACTATTGTCAATATTGGCACTTCATGACACTTTGACCTTTAGGATAAAGATTAAATGGGGACCCAAAGATTGGGTAGGATTTATCTAGGTCAAGAGAAGCATCATGATAGGCATGAGAAATGGCAGATGGGAAGGCTCAGTAGAGCGGACGGGAGACAGAGACAGACAGAGACAGAATGATTTGAGAATAATTTGAGAAAGTAACAAGAGGACAGGCAAAGAAGATTTAATATATGCATAATAGGAGTAGTGAAAGGAAGGAACTGAAAGCAAAGAAAGAGAAAAAACACAGAAAACTATAATTCAAGGAAATTTTCTTGAAATTAAAACAAAATTGAAACTGTACTTTGAAAGACGAAACTGTATTCTCCCTGACAAAATTACCCCAGGATCACCATTACCAAGACAGAATCTGTAAAATTACCAGACTTTAAAGAATAAAAATCTTTCTGACATCCAGCTAAAAGCATCTAACTACTCATAAGGTGCAGAAAATGAGAATCCCAATAAAACCAACATAGTGGATACACCAGCAGCTGGGAATTCTACATTTAGCCAAGCCAATTTTTAAGTCTAAAGAAGGACGTTAAAGGGCTGTTACCTCGAAAGAATCCAGAGAATATTGTTCCCGGGAGACCTTCCTGACACATTTACAAGAGAATGGACTTCATAGGACCAAAATAAACAGAGCTCCATGGAAGGAGAGTTTGTGTCCAGAAGTACATTTCTACGAGTCATAGAGGAGGGAGAAAAGATGTAGAAAACCAGGAAGTAGGAGAGCTGAGCTGTGAGCCAAGGGAGGTCCCGTGCTGAGGATGCTGTAACCCGGAACACCAAGCAAGCACACGCCCACACTGGGAGGGGTGAGAGGCTGGTCCTTTGGTTGGGATGTGTGGAGGGTTTGGGGGTGGCCAACAGTGCCCCATCTCCCATCTCCCAACATGGGTGGTGTTTAAGAGGGTCGCTGTACGGGGATTGATCAAAGTCTGTGTTTACTGTAGGTAATTTTCTGTACCTGCATTGCACTGTACCATGAGGACTCATAGAAACAGAGGACAGGACGGTGGTTACTGTAGGTGAGGAGTGGGAGAAAAGGGGAGATACAGGGCAAGGAACAGATCCTCATGTATGATGTGGATGCCAAAGACCTTGCACACACCACAGCGATTATAGTTAACAGTGATGTACTTAGTGCTTGGAGTTTGCCAAGAGTGTAATGTCAAGTGTTCTCAACACACACACACACACACACACACACACACACACACACTGTGTGAGGGATGGGGAAGCTAATTCGCTTTTGTGGGTGATTGTTTTGTAGCATGTACAATGTTTAACATCACATTTTCGATCCCCAGTACCAAAAAAAAAAAAGTATGTAAACATCACATTGTATACCCTAAATACATGTACTTTTTGTCAATCCTACCTCAGTAAAGCTGGAAAAACACAAAGGGAATAAAATCGCGTAACAGATGAGCATTAAACATTCATTTAATGAAGATAAATAGTAAGAAAAAGATGCCAACTACCTCTAAAAACTTCCAAAAAAGAGTTACAATCATTTCCTCCAAAGGAAATCCCAAAGGCCTTTATTATTAAGATTAGAATGCATTGCAAAACAAAGTGATTCAGGAGAAATCCATATTGAGCACATTTAGTAGTGTGTGTGTGTTTGTGTGTGCGTGTGTGTGTGTGTGTGTGGTGTCGGGGCAATCAAATGATGTTTAATTCATTTCATCAAATGCGAATAGGTATAGTTTAGCTTTTTAATGGGAACATTGGATAGAAATGTCTTTCTCTCTTCTGATGATGTATCTGTGTGTTTCTATTTTTGTGCTTTGCGCAACCAGTTGGCTATAACTTAAAAGAGAGGTAGGGAATGAATATCCTGGCCTTGTCAGTGTGACTTGGTTTGCAAAATTTCCATATAACACTGTGTGATTCGTTCTTTGCCCCTGAGCTGTAAATATGAGAGTCGTTATAAATATGAGGGAAATGTCAGGGAGAGACAAACTGTCATGGCACATGAGGTAAAGGACAGATTTTAAGCTGCTGAGTAAGATAAACCTGGGGTTTCAACCTGATTCTTCTGCCTCAGTTTCTTACCTGTGAAATGGGGATAATTATCTTATCAGAATGATGAAGATTACAGATGATGACTAGAAAGAACTGGGCTCAACACTTAGTACATAAAAGTAGCTAATTGCTTCCCTGAATTCAGTGACAGTGGCTTGTCCTAGCTGCACAGGAAACAACCAAGGGGCAAGAGACATCCAAAGGTTTGGAGGGAAGCAACTGCTTAATCAGTTATCTCAAATGTCCTCAACTGATTTCTAGAGGAGCAGGAGACATGGAAATTATTTTTCCTTCCATTGCGGTAGACGACCTCATATTAGGGCAGTTTTGTCGGGAGTGTTAAAATCTTGCCAAGAGAGTAAAGTCAGTGCCCCCCGGGAACCCTGAGCCTGGCTCTCCGCTGATAACACACACTGGGCTCACAGAGGCTGCAGGGTCGCAGCTTGTGACTTTGCCTAAGGGACCCTAATACCTGCTAGAACACACAATTTCAAAGTTTCCCCCTGAAAACTACCCTCCATGTACAGCATTTAGCCCTCCATTTACGGCAGCTCATTAAGAAGTCCCGGGGTAGTTCTTTTGACAAAGTAGGGTTGGATTACAGCTGAGTTCAGAACCCAGACATGTTTTCTTTGTTTTCTTCCCAAGTCTGCGTTGCTTCTAGGTTGGTATTTCATAACCCGCAAGCCATTTTTGCTCAAGAAGGATTGTGTGGTTTTCTCAAGAAATTTTTTGGCTAGAAATTTCAAAAAAAGTAGGTAAACTTGTTTATGCTTTGCCCATCCCGTCCCCATAGGTCCCCAGTACATGCTGGTAACACACACTGAAAATCAGCTCGACTCTGATGAAGCCAATACATCCAGCATGAAGCTGTGTCAAGATCAGATTTGGAGCTGGTGTTAATAGAGAGAGCAATTTCTAATGGGCCAGGTGCCAAGAACCCAGACTGGTTTCCCTCATACTCGCTCGGCTGGCTTCTCACTGAGTCTAATGTGTGAAGCGCTGCTGGGCTGGCTTCCGAAGGCTTTCAGAGATGCTCGCAGCCTATGGCGCAGGAAAGGCTGCATCGGCCATTCCAATAGCCTTAATCTTAACTGGTCTGGCTGGTGTGCTTGACAAACAGCCCATAGAAACCTCTTCTTTCTGCTTTATTTTGTTCATTCGATGAAGCCTGCTTGCAAAGCACACATGCAGATGCAAAGCTGGACAATAGTAGTAGCATTTTATATTTTTCCAG